TGCAAAAAGAAATCCTGATACCTCGTGCTTCCTACTCAAGGTGACACATCCCTACTTATCAAGTTTCTTGTCCCCCCCCCCCCCCCCCCCCCCCCAGCAAAAACACAAGAAAACACCCTGACTATCATCAAGCCTCTAGAGCTGTAAGTCACTAGTTTACAGGAAATATAGGGTAGCAGAACACATTCACCAATACACAGGGATGCAATCGGCAAAATCCAGATGCTGGAAAATCCAATGACAGATGACCTAGTTTCTTTAATCAATAGATTATAATGGAGGGGGGAAAAAGAAATTGAAGAAGGAAACAATGAGTTGAAAGTTAAGGGGCATATCAACAAATTTCAATATCCAAACTTATCAAAATCCTGACTCAAACTGTTCTGAAATAGCCAGGGAAAATGTGAATACTAAAAAACTCCTTACAACTGAATAATTTTCTTGATGTAGTAATGTTTATCCTTCAAATAATATTAAACTATTTATGGATGAAATGATATTTGAAATTTGAAAAAACCGAGGTTGGCAGGGGAATAGAATGTAGTTCAGGAGACAGATGAATCAGTCCCTGGGTTTGATATTAATATTTTAAATCTTTATTTATTTATTTTATTTTATTATTATTATTATTTTTTTGTCTTTTTTGTGACCGGCCTGCACCACGCTCAGCCAGTGAGTGCACCGGCCATCCCTATATAGGATCCGAACCTGCGGCGGGAGCGCTGCTGCGCTCCCAGCGCCGCACTCTCCCGAGTGTGCCACGGGGTCGGCCGTAAATCTTTATTTTTTTAATTTCCTTTTTTTTTTTTTGTCTTTTTTCGTGTCCGGCAACGGATCGCAACCCTCAGTGTCATGCCCGTACCGGACCGGGACCGGCAACGGGATCGCAACCCTCGGTGTTGCGCTCGCACCTCGCTCAGCCAGTGAGCGGGAACCGGTCTGTATGTGGGATCCGAACCCTCGGCGGGAGGACCACCGCGCTCCCAAGCGGCGCACTGTAGCAGTGCGCCACCAGGCCAGCCCATAAATCTTTATTTAAACTGAGTTTTGCATTCATTTCAACTGAGGATTGAAGGAAAAAAACAAAAACAAAAAAACCTGAGAACTGACTACTCATGCCAGAGATAAGAAAATATCTAATGTTTACAGTAAACTCATAATAAGCCAGACACAACGCTAAGTACTTTGACTATGTTACCATATTTAATCCCAATAATCCTATGAGGTTAGAACCTTTAATTGTCCTTGATTTACAAATTGTTAATTGATGCAGGCTAGCAAGTTTTATTTTAGTATAATTACCAAATAATTATTAGTTCATAAATACTTCAAGGATGTAAACAAAGTACTTGGTTACAGGAAAACCTTGATTTAGGTATATTTAGTCATTAAGAGCTCTTTATCTTTTGGTTAAATGAGAGCTCTCTAGGCACCCTTTCAAATAATGTGTAAAAAAAAAATTTAGATATTTATGTACTAGTCAATATTCAACATTTAGTGTAACTCTTTCCAAATTGCATGATATCTACTTTCTAGCCTTAGTAAGGAGACCCTCTTCTTTAACCTTTTATTACTACAACTAGTGACTCTGGCTAAATTGTTACTTAACCTTGCTTAGCCTGCTTCTACACCTTTAAAATGGGCTAATTGGACCTATAACACAAAAAGCTAATATAAAGATGACATAAGAGCTCCTAACAGCTAGCTTTTACCTCTAGCTGTATCCTTCTGTTGAGTTGCTGTCCTATGCTCAATTATTTGGTAAAAACATAGTAATATCTCCAGAAAGCTAAAGGTTAGACACCTAGCTTCCTGATCCCATCCTTACAGCATATATGGGTTTGATCCACAAACCCATTGTTCTGTGGTTTGTAAAAGGAGTGCTGAATTTGCATTCCCTTTTCATAGAATTCTAAATTGGATGGCACTTACAATCGGCAGGTTTCAACAGTATCCTTTGTTATCATAAATTAATTACTTGGAATGCAGTTTTGTCTATTTTTCTTTAGTTTTCTTTAATTTTAGCAATTAATCTAATGTTAACCAGTGTTATAATTCTTTTCAAAGTATTTTCTGTTTACTTAAAAACTACTTACAGCTTCCTCTTCTTTATCGACATTACTTGTTTGTGACAACTTAATGTTTCCATTTCCAAGTTCTCCACTTGCGGAAAATTTGACTCCATCTTTTGCACAGGAAATTACAACTGCATCTCCAATATGACTGAGATCTCGGCATATACGTGCAAATTCACCAGAAGGCATCTTTACGACACAGCTGTACTCTTGTTCCTATAAAACAATTTTGAAAAGTTAGTTGCTGAAAATTTAAAGATTTGGCGCCTCCCCACGACCCCCCCCCTGCTTATATTCTGACAGCTGGCTGGTACAGGGATTGAACCCTTGACCTCTCACTTTCTTAAAAAGCAACATCTACAGGGCTGGCTGGTTAGCTCAATTGGTTAGAGCGTAGTGTTATAAACACCAAAGTCAAGGCTTAGGATCCCAGTACAGGCCAGCCACAAAACAAAAAAAAACCAAAACCAAAACAAACAAACAAAAGAACAGATATCAAACAATTATGTTATAAGAACAATTATACTAAATTATAAACACCAAAGTCAAGGCTTAGGATCCCAGTACAGGCCAGCCACAAAACAAAAAAAAAAACCAAAACCAAAACAAACAAACAAAAGAACAGATATCAAACAATTATGTTATAAGAACAATTATACTAAAGAAACAAATTAAAGCTTAAACCTTTAACACTAAGTAAATGCCAGGGAACAAAACATCCTCCTAATCATTCTCCAGGGCTAAATCAAGAGGACATTAGGGTCTGGCACAGAAATGATGATGGTGCAAGCAGGCCTAACTGCTTTCAATAGCAAACAAAATGATATTAAGCATTTTAAACATCTTAACATTTCTTTTCTCCTTTGATGTTGATAAACCCAGCCTTAATAAATTTCTTCTAAAATAGCTTTAAAATCTACTACTCTTAATTTAAAAAAAACAAAAAACAAAAAACAAGCACTGTAGGAAAAAAGAAAATTTTAAGAAAAGGAAGAAATAGATGCATGGAAGTTAATGCAAATAAGCCCTTGGCAGCAAACAATGCATTCAACCAACGATGAACATCAAACTACTGTGGTTCAGTAAAATGACGAACATGTCAGTCCAAATACTAAAACTCCAGTTTGGAACAAGCATCAGACATATTTCTAGAGAAAGCTGTTAGGAAGTAGGCTTTAAATTATATTATTATATTAACATATTTTTGGTAACTATCAGGACTGTGTACTGTATGCTCTACAATCAGAAACTGATACTCACTGGAATTCCAAGTTGTTCAACATCTAAGTCCATTAACTTCATTTCATAGTCTGATACTTTCTCCTGATCTATCAAAAGAAAGCAAATGTTGTTGAAGGAAAGCACATGATGTACACTTTACAACAATCACAAACATTATCTTAAAATTCTCACAGTTTTGAGAAATAATAACACTGCATTTTAATTTTCTGTAGAGTAACTCAGTGAAAAGGACATGACTTACTTGGTGCTTCAAATACTAGCGCCAAGGTGTCCGCATTATCTTCAGCCCTTAGTGTAATAATGTCTTCGTTGCCAGCACATTTTAATATTTTGGACATGCTAGAACAAAGACACAGGGTTTAAAATCAACACCACCTGCCTAAGATCTAGATTTCTACAGCAATTAGGAGGAGTTACCATTTTCACCCATCAGGCTGTCTGACGAGTTTGGAAGGAGGATAAACATACTGCCAAAAAAACGTGTACATAGCCATTTTGGTTGGAATACAATCTGGCAGTATTTATATTTAGACACCCTACCACCAGCAACTTCACTTATGGGCATAAATAAAAAAGCAGTATTTTCTGAACTGCAAATCCCTTTAGTGGTGAAGTCATCGGGCTGTGATGATCACTAAAAATGACAATCTATTAAAACACACTGTCGTATGAGTAAATATTTCTCATAGGCCTTCTAAAACAAGCAAATATATATGTACTAGATAGACAGTGGTCAGAAAGTTGAAAGCCACTGTCCCCAAGTCGAAGATCTTAGGACTTTGTAATTAAAGACCAGAAACAATCTGTTGTCCCTAAGTAGGGTGACAGTGACACTTTCTCACTAGGGCATGTTATGAAGCGGTTAAAGTCAAACACGACTAAGGTTTCCCACTCAAGGCTGCCATTTAATGGGCAAAGAGGTCAGGAACTATCTTTTGCTGTCAACGCAGCGAAACCCAACATTTTCCCGCCACCACCCGCTTTGTGACTTTGGCGCGGAAAGGCCTGGTTCCCGCGGCAGCCAGCGCGGGCTTTGCCGAACCGCGCGCTCCGCCAGGCCCCGCCCCCAGGGGGGTCGCAGGCCAGTGAGAAGGCGCGGATGGGTTTTGTCTATTTTTCTTTAGTTTTCTTTAATTTTAGCAATTAATCTAATGTTAACCAGTGTTATAATTCTTTTCAAAGTATTTTCTGTTTACTTAAAAACTACTTACAGCTTCCTCTTCTTTATCGACATTACTTGTTTGTGACAACTTAATGTTTCCATTTCCAAGTTCTCCACTTGCGGAAAATTTGACTCCATCTTTTGCACAAGAAATTACAACTGCATCTCCAATATGACTGAGATCTCGGCATACACGTGCAAATTCACCAGAAGGCATCTTTACGACACAGCTGTACTCTTGCTCTGGAATTCCAAGTTGTTCAACATCTAAGTCCATTAACTTCATTTCACAGTCTGATACTTTCTCATGATTTGGTGCTTCAAATACTAGCGCCAAGGTGTCCACATTATCTTCAGCCCTTAGTGTAATAATGTCTTCGTTGCCAGCACATTTTAATATATTGGACATGCTGGTGAGGTTCACTCCCATGGCCAGGTTCCGGTCGCAGCGGTACGTGTCGAAGCCCTCGGAGCGCAGGGTGAGCTGCACCAAGGAGACGTGGGACGAGTCCATGCTCTGCAGGTTTACGCCGCTCGAGCTGATGTCCCAACAGGCCTCGTTGATGAGATCCTTGAGCGCCTCCAGCACCTTCTTCAGGATAGAGCCCTGGACCAGGCGCGCCTCGAACATGGTGGAGGAATGGCAACGACGCAGCTACAGGCGGGTGGGAAGAAAAGAGGTCTAGCCGATTTAGGCTTCACGAGGCCCAGCGCGAGCGAAAGCAGCAGCCAGAGTCTGGGACCGAGAAAAGGACACAACCAACCTGCTACTCCCTCAGCCGTTTAATGCCCCCGCGTCCGTCGGCGCGCGCTCTTCGCCCCTGCGCGCTGCCACGTCAACGCGCTGCTCCGCCTACCACCTGGAGGAGAGACTCTAGGACCAATCGTCTTCCTGTTCCTCGCGAAGCCCGCCCCTCCAGAACATCTATTGGAGAATGTGGCGCAGAGGCGGGCTCGCGTCTTGCGCCCACGGAAGCGGACGGGGCGGTGCGGCAGGTCTCCCCGCCTTTTTGCTTTCATCCCCGAACCTGGACGCAAGAAAAGTAGGGACCTTAGTGAGGGCCATGCCCATGTCCATGCCCAGGCCCGGGGTCGTCAGTCCTTGGCTTTGTGGTGGCTCCTCAGTCTCCCACTTCGGGGGTAGAAAGATTCCAGTCACGAAAGTGAAAGCGAAACGCAAATCAAGCCTCCAGGGTGGAAAAGCCGCCTCGTAGCCTGAAGAGTACAGCTGCCTAAATATGCGCTTTACTTTTGCTATTACGGAAGTGATGTACTCCTGGGTTAGGATCCCCGTACCTGCCAGCCGCCAAAAAGAAAAAAAAAAAAAAAAAAAAGCCATGCACTCCTAGAAGTGTCAAATGATAAATAGGTTTACAATTATGTTAAAGTTATATCAGCTCCTCGCCACGCACACACCAAGCTCATATAATCACTCATTTACTGTACACAGATTTCTAAATTTTTTTCAATGCAAATACGTATTTAAAGAAATACGTCCTCGTTAGTATAGTGGTGAGTAAAAAAAGTAATAAATACGTTCACACTGTGAACACGTCTGCAAAGTACTTAATAAAAGTACATTTAATTTTATGCCATGAACCTGTTACAGCATAATATACTTTGTATATAACCTACTTTACCAATTTCCTTTTTAAATTACACACACCTTTGAGCATTTAGGTGATTTTTGTGAGATCAATTCCTTATAGTATTGCTGAGTCGAAAACCATGCATATTTAAATTTTTATAAATATTACCAAATTGACCCCTAAAAGATTGTAATTTACATTCCAGCCAAGACTGTACGAGCATGCTCATTTCTCCTTTTTTTCCTAACTATAGATACTAGCAATGTCGTTTATAAATCTGTACTCATATGAAATTTTCAATTGTTACAGATTGGACGTCTTTCATATATTTCTGACGATTGCATGTTTACTTATTTTTAAATTAAATGGTCTTTTTCCTATTTATTAAAAGGAGAACTTTATATATTAATCATTTACTTGTGACACACACACACACACACACACACACACACACACACACACACACACACACACACTCCCCCCTAGCTTGTTGTTTTCCTTTTGCTCTGTGTATGGGATTTCTCTTTAGTTACTTTTATTTATTTTTATTTATTTTTTTTTCCTTTTTGTCTTTTTTCGTGACCGGCAACGGATCGCA